TTTGGGAAAGGGACTGGAAAGTCAGTGGATTGTCCCTTTTGTTCCCTCCTGGGGATGGTTGAGCAAATTGCCTTTTCATCTTCATTTGCAAATGAAGTAGGAAGCTTCTTAGGTTAGTTTGTTTTTCTTTTTATACTACTTAAATTTTTTATGTGGTAAAATATATATAACATAAAAAATTTCCATTTTAAACTTTTTAAGTGTACAATTCCATGGCATTAAATTTCACAATGTTTTGAAATCATCACTGCTGTCCATTTCCAAAATTTTTCATCAACCCAACAGAAACTCTCTACCTGTTAAGAAATAATTCCCCATTTCTCTCTTCCACCAGGCACTAACTAAGATGTCTGATTTACTTGCTGTTTCTATGAATTTGCCTACTGTTTATATTTCATATTATATGGAATTATACAATATTTGTCCTTTTGTGTCTGGTTTATTTCATTTAGCATAATGTTTTCAAGGTTTATCCACATTGTAGCATATATCAGAATCTCATTCCTTTTATGGCTGAATAATATTCCATCTTATGCATATACCACATTCTGTTTATCCATTTGTCTGTTGAGGGACACTTGGGTTGTTTCTACCTTTTGGTTATTGTGAATAATCCTGCTGTGAAAACTGGTATACAAGTATCTGTTTTCAGTTGTTTTGGGTACATACCTATGAGTGGAATTGCTGGATCATATGATAATCCTATGTTTAACTTTTTGAGGAACCACCAAACTGTCTTCCATAGAACTGCATCATTTTATATTTCCACTAGCAATGGATGAGGGTTCCAATTTTCTCTACCTCCACCATACTAGTATTTTCCATTTTCTAAAACAATAGCATTCTAGTAGGTGTGATATGATATCTCATTGTGACTTTGATTTGCTTTCCCTAAGAACTAATGGTGTTGAGTATCTTTTCATGTGCTTACTGGCTATTTGTAGCTCTTTCCTGGAGCAACATCTTTTTGCCACATTTCAATTGAGTTATTGATCTTTAGTTTGTTGAATTGTAGGAGTCCTTTACATATTCTGGATTAAAAAAACAAAACTCACCACCATCAAGTGAGATCTGACTCATAGCGACCACTCCTTGGGTTTCCAAAGCAGTATTACTACAGAAGTAGACTGCCCAACCTTCCTTCCAAGGAGTGGCTGGTGGATTTGAACCATCAGCCTTCTGGTTACCAGTCAAATGCCTTAGGTACTATGCCACCAGAGCTCCTATATTCTGGATATTAAACCCTAATCAGACACATGATTTGCAAGTATTTTCTCCCATTCTGTGGGTTATCTTTTTACTCTCTTGATAATGTCCTTTGATGCACAAGATTTTTAATTTTAATGAAGTTTAATTTATCTATTTTTTTTTAATTACCTATGCTTTGTTGTCATATTTAAGAAACCATGGTCAAATCGAAAGTCATGCATAATTTGACCCTGTGTTTCTGTCAAATGTTGTTGCTTCATATATTCTGGGGTCCTATTGTTATGTACACATATGTTTATAGTTATTTTATCTTTTTTTAAAATTTTACTGTGGTTTAGGTGAAAGTTTACAAAGCAAATTAGTTTTCCATTCAACAATTTATACATAGTTTTGTGATGTCGATCGCAATCCCCTCAATGTGTCAGCACTCTTCCCACTTCCACTCTAAGTTCTCCATTTCAATTCACCCAGCTTTCTTGCCCCTTTCTGCCTTCTGAATTTTGCTTTTGGGAAAATACTGCCCTTTTGGTCTGGTACAGTTGAATGTTCTGAGGAGCATGTTCCTCATGAGTGTTACTGTTCACTTTATAGACCTATTGTTTGGCTGTAAGATGATCTCTGGGAGTGGGTTTAGTTCTAAGTTTGAAGGATACCTAAAGGTCCTAGTCTCAAGGGTTCCATCAGTCTCTAGCAGACCAGTAAATTTGGTCATTTTTAGGAATTTGAATTTTGTTCTACATTTTTCTTTTACTCTGTCTGAGACATTCTATTGTGGTCCCAATCACAGCATATAATTATTATACCTTCTTATTGAATTGGATCTTTTATTAGTATATTTCCTTTGTCTCTTGTATGAGCTCAGGTGGTACTGTGGTTAAAGAATTGGGCTTCTAAATAAATAATTTTTGGTTGTCAATTTTTTCCTTTCAGCACTTTAACTATATCATCCACTGCCTTCTGGCCTCCATGGCTTCTGATGAGACATCAACTGTCAGTTTTACTGAGAAACTTTTGTACATAAAGAGTCATTTCTCTGTTTGCTGGTTTTAACATTCTCTCTTTGTCTTTTGACAATTTGACTCCAATATGTCTCTATGTGGATCATTTTTTTTTTTTAAGTTTATCCTGCTGGGAATTCATTAGGCTTTTTCAATGTGTAGATTCATGTCTTTCATGAAATTTGGGAAGCTTTATTATTTATTTATTTATTATTTATTCAAATCTTTTTGCTACCCCTTTCTTTCTCTTCTTCTTCTAGTACCCCTATAATGCATATGTTGGTCCAGTTTATGGTGTCCCACAGGTCCTGAAGGCTTCATTCATCATCCTTCATTACTTTTTTTTCTGCTTTTCAAACTGTATAATTTCAGTTGTCCTATCTTAATTGATTCATTATTCTTTCCAATCTTCCTTCCAAGGTGTGGGTGGTGGGTTTGAATCACCAGCCTTCTGGTTAGCAGTCAAATACCTTAGGCACTACGCCACCAGAACTGAAGTGAGTGATAAGCACAAATTGGTCTCCCTACCTCTGTATATGTAAGAAATTTTCCACAGTAAAAAGTTAAAAACAAAACGCAAAAACTTCAATCCTTCCTCCCTTGTTGCATCTCTCTTCTAGGGAAAGAGGACATACATTTCCACCTCTACACCTTTCCCAACAACGTTTCCTCTTTTCCTCTCTCCTCCAAATGCCCTTCTCCTTTTACCAACCCAACACCCTCCAGGCCCACCCTCCAGGCCTGCACTCCCCCTCCCTCTTCTGCTCTTCTCTGGAGGTTATCAGTACTGGTGGGTGGGGAAGCTTTCCTGCCATGGTGATCTACCTTCTCCCGGGTAGCCATGGCTCCTCCAGAGGGTTCCCAAAGTGCTCCTTGCCCCTTCCAAAACTGCACCAGCAAAGCTGTACAGCATCAGAAAGAGTACCCTACTCCTCTCTCTTACCAACCCAAGGCAGAGGAGAAGTCCTAGGTGCCTGCCATGCTCTATGGTGAGGGGAAGGGACACAGGGCTTTCTGTGTGATGTGTTAGGCAAAGACAGCTACGGTATGGATAGAGAGTTCTAGAAATTCCTTCATGTTTGTGGGATCAGCTCTGTGTGAGCCCAGCTCTGTATAATAATAGCCATCCTTCAAGGCACATTGTGGAAGAGGCTACTAAAATGTGGGAAGACACACAGCAAAGGTTCTTACCTAATACAACCAGGTAAGTCTAAGGAATGAGTCACACTGATTTAGTTCCATGACACTGGAGCTCTAACAAAATCTTATGTAGAAGCCCAGGGTACTCAGGGTCTCTGGAACCCCACACATGAACTAAATGGTAGCATGATCTACCCCTTTCTCTTCTGTGGTGGCCCCTAAGGGGTCTCCAGAGACTCTGAAGACTCTGGTCTGTCCAAGAGTAGAAAGAGATCCAAGTCTGCATGGGTATCTGGTTAAGGCAGGAAGAGAAGTCAGGCTCATTTGACCCAGGCAGCAAACCCACACACTTCCCCCACAGTGGAGTGCCTGACCTCAGGCCTCTTAGTACCTCAGCATCATACTTTTCATTGATGGTAGGCTCAGTGGTGACCAGCTTCATCCTGCTGGCAAATCGCAGTGAAGACAGCTGAAAACAGACCAGACAGACGTTAGTCAGCGCTCCACCATTCTAAATCTTTGAGCTTTCTCCTGTAGTTCCTCCCTGTGAGCTCTATAGGTTCAGCTCTGGGCAGAGATCCTGAAATGTGTGGACACAAAATTCTGGGGGCATCATGTACCAGATCTGCTTGTGCTGTGATGATCTTTGGGGGGCAATAAGGAGAAAAGAGGGTTTGCACTGTCTTAAAGGATATATTTCTTCTTAAGAAGGCAGCCAGGAGCCCAAGTTTCTTATGCCCCTTTTGGAGTTCAACTGTGCTTTGTTATAAGGCGAAACCAGATGGTGCCTGAACTCTTCCTCCAGGGATGCTGCCTGCACGTCAGCTGCAGCTTCTTCCATGCCTGTCCAAATCCCAGAGCTCTGGGTATGTGGCAGGAGCACTCCCTGTGGAAGCTGGGATGGTCCCTAATGAACGCAGCTGGGAGGCCCTGCAGGAGCATCTTGCCCTACAGCATTCCTGGAAATGATCTGTTTCATGTCAGTAGATTCTTCAGATGACTGAAACTTACCCTAAACACCCACACTCTGAAAAATAACTTTTCCATGGAGAGCTTGCCAGACTGTCTATTATATGATGGGTGACTCTTCAGAGGAAAACACAAGAAGGGAGCCCCAGCTGGGAGGTAGCCAGTTGCGTGGACTCATCTGTGTTGCTGCCTCAGCCCTGTGTCTGGCCCTTGCTCCTTCCTCTGACTCTCATGAGCTTCTCCCTGAGTCACAACCCTGGCCACAGCCCTACCTTACCCAACCCCTGCAACAGTTCCAGATACCTACAGGAGAAGAGCCCAGGTCTTGGCCTGTCCACCAGGGCCCATGCAGCTCCTTCAGTGTCCTCTCTTTCCTGAACCCTCCTTTGTAGTAGGCCAGGATATTCCTGACATGGGACATGCCTTAAGTGCCATCATCTCCTCTGACAGTAACATCTCCCCAAAACCCTACCATTAATCCTTTAACCCCAGCCCAGTGTCTGCCTGCCCCCACTCCTGCTAATAATCCCCCAAGCTCCTCTGTAGGCTCTTCCCTCTGGACTTCTCACACGACATGGGGCATTGGTTTATCTCCCTTCCTGGGCTGGGTACTCTGAGGCCCAATGTCATGTGTGAGTCATTTCTACCAAGCTGCTCCTCACCACCTTGCACATGGCAGGTGCTTAACACCTATCTGCTCACACCAACATTATAACCACAGCCTACAAGCCTGTAGTAGTTTCAAGATATTTAATATACATGATTATGAAGTACAAGGAATCAACTCTCCTGCTCTGTCCCCATCTACAGAAGCAGACCCCAGGAAGTATAGTCCTTGCCCTGCACAAAGCCACCTTCAGCCTCCCCACTCCTTGCCTAATCCCCTGATTTGCCCTCTTCTTCTACCCCTTAGTGCTTGATATTTGGATCTAGGCTCTAGGCCTCTCTCAGCAATTTTGTCCCTGCCTTGTCCGTTGGACACCTCCACACTTGACAATGTTTTTATAGTTTATGTCCCAGGTTAACCAGCCTAGAGCCAGCCTAACCCAGGCTGGCATCCATGAGGAGAGATTCCAACCTAATCACACTGGTTGAGTTTTACATACCGTCTCTTCTAACTGGGAGGCTTCTCCATAGATGTTTGTCACGAGGACCATATTGCAGTTTCCTCCTGGAGAAAGCAGTACACAGAAAGGCCATGAACCATGTGAATTTTCTGCCAAAAGACTCCCTTGAGGCAAGTGGGGGTCAGAGAGGACACACTTAAGAATGTATGAGGCTGGGAGGCAAAGGAAGAAAGAGTGAAGGGAGATAAAAGACCACATGTACCTGAAAGAGGAGCCAAGGGAGAACAGCAGAGGAAAGATGCTGTGGGGCAGGGAGAGACAGGGTTGGGCGAGAGGAATGTGAGCCAAGGCTTTGCTCATGGTGGCACTCAGCTAACAATTTAACACCAATGACTGTGTTATCAAGCCCAACACAAAGGGCTGGGGACAAGGGGATGATAAGACACAGCTTCTGCTTCTCTGTTAGGGAAGCTGCTGGGGAAAGGAAGACACCACTGGAGAGGCCCTCCACCTGGGTCTTCAAGGATCTGAAGAATTCTGCTAGCTGATTTGGGGATGAAGAGAAAAGGAAAGGTATTCTTAGTAAAGGCAAGAGCTCATGCAAAGGTCTTGAGGAGTGAACAGCATGGCATGTTCTGGGCGTAAGAGGTCATTGTACTTGATTCTGCTGTGGCAGGTGTATCTAACTAAGGTCACTGTGAAAGGACTGCAGATCAGTCTGTGTAACAAGGAAGAAGAGATTCCATTACCACCAATGGCAGAGGTGCCAGGTCTGTCCCTCCTTGGGGCTCCTCCCTGGGCATCAACCACACCCTCACCTAACGAATCCTTCAGAGCGTGAGTAAGCTTGCATTGCCGAAAGGGGATGTGGTCCCGCCTTTGGTCCCCAAGGGCGATGATGGCCTGCTCCAGGAATGACAGCGACTTGTTGATGTAGGTGGCTTCTTTCAGGACTCGGCCCTCAGACTACAAACCAAAGGCCCCACTAAGAATGACCATGCTTCTGGTTCATAATGCTGCTGCAGGTCTGTGGCCAGGCCAAAACCCTCTTTACTGAACCAGGGTCTTCCCTCAATGTCACAGGACTCTATCCCATCTTGGGCTAATGGTAAAACTAATACTCATAGGAATACCCATATGAATATGGATATTTAAATTAACATTCATGTGAATATTCAAAAACTCATACTAATATGAATACATTCAGGAATACTTGGGCAGATACTTGTGTAAATATTCCAGCAAGTAATCCTGTGAATATTCATACAAATACACTTGTATGAAAGTACAAACAAATGCTTATCTGAATACTCTATACTTATGCTGATACTCATACTCACATAAATATTCACGTGCATATTCATATTCATATGCAGAGAAACACTAATATTAGCATACAGTATTTACTGAAGGTCACGCACCTTGCTAAAAATTTAGAGGGTATCATCTCACTGAATCTTTACAAAAATCCTGTAAGAAAGGAACTGCCTTTGTGTAGTAGCTATACCACCCTCTGCTAATTCTCCAGCTCCTCAGGGTCAAGACCACAGCTCTGCTGCTCTGGTTATGAAATATCCAATAAGAGATGGCCCACATGTGCAGGCACTAGGCCAGAAATGGGTCCCATCACTTGTGGAGAAGAAACTTCTTGCTCCCCACTTACCCCAGACTTCCCCAGTCTCTCTGAGCCTGCTAGATCCACCAAATTAATTTTGGAAGTGATGTACTTTTCCTCTGATAAGGTCCGTGAATGGGCCTATGAAACACCCAAAGGCAGGTTAGAATCTCAACAGAGAGAAGCTTGTGACTGAGTAGGGCCCACAGGAATTGACCACCCTTCCCAGGCCATTACAAGGGCTTGTACCTACCTCCATGTAGATGGTAAAAATGCAGTGTGACCTGGAAGAGTTTTTGTTCATTGTGTGGGAGGCTATAATCCTGTTGGTCTCTCCCTGAAGAGGAAGAAAAACATAGGCAACATTTTGACAAATTAAAATAGCAAGATATTTGTGTCACCAACAGCTATACAAAGGACCTCATGTCATCAGCTGGGCCATCCGGGCAAACCTCTTTGATAAGCTAGAAGAAAGGGACAATAAAACAAGTAAAACTAAATATAAACAGATGGGATGAAGAGAAAGCATACATTATATGACAGATTTAACTCAAATATATCAGTAATTACATTAAATGTAAATGGAATAAAGTTTTAAAAGATGAAGACTATCAGAACAGAGCTCTGGTAGCATAGTGCCTAAGGCATTTGACTGCTAACCAGAAGGCTGGTCGTTCAAACCCACCAGCCACTCCTGACCACCAACCAATCCTTGGAAGGAAGGTTGGGCAATCTACTTCTGTAGTGATATCGCCTCAGAAACCCAAGGAGGGGTTGCTATGAGTTGGGTTTGACTTGACAACAGTGAATTTGGTTTTTTATATGCTCTTTACACAAAAAAGCAAAACCAAGAAATTTATAGACATTCAACTAATTTAAAGTTAAAAATTGTGTTCATCAAATGCCATGTAAGGAGGGAGAAAATAAGATAAACCACAGAATATAGAAGGTATTTGCAACACCAATAACTAAAAAAGTTAACTGTTTTTCAGAATACATAAAGAACTCTTACAAATAAGGAAAAGACATCTACAAGCAAAATAAACAAAACATATGAACACGTACTTCATAAGAGAGGAAATTCAAATGGTCAATAAATATATGGAAAAATGCTTAATCTCATTAGTGAACTAAACTAAAAAAAAAAATAAACTCACTGACATTGAGTCAATTCCAACTCATAGTGACCCCTCCTTGGGTTTCTAAGACAGTGTCTTTATGGAAGTAGACTGCCCAGTCTTCCTTCTGAGGAGTGGTTACCATCTGGTTAGCAGTCAAATGCCTTAGGCACTAGGACACCAGAGCTCCAATTGGTGAATGGGAAAATGCAAATAAAGATCACAGTGTGATACCACTACACACTGATGTTGTTAGGTGCCATCGAGTCAGACCCAACTCATAGCAACCCTTCCTTGGGTTTCCGAGGCAGTATTACTACGGAAGTAGATTGTCCCATCTTCCTTCCAAGGAGTGGCTGGTGGGTTTGAACCACCAGCCTTCTGGTTAGCAGTCAAGTGCCTTAGGCACTACGCTACCAGAAATTGGTCAATTAAAGTCATTATGGGAATTCTAATAACCTGTTGGTGAGAATGTATCATATTGGAAAATAGCTGGCATGATCTAGCAAAGCTTGTCGTTGTTGTTAGGTGCCATTGAGTGGTTCTTTTTTTTTTTTTTTTTTTAGGATTTGGGTGAAGATTTACAGAGTAAATTCACTTTTCATACAGCAGTTCACATATACTTTGTCTCATGTCATTGACCAAAATTTACAATGCAGCAGCTCCCCTCCCACTTCCTCCCCATAGTTACCTCCTCCCCGTGTCCATCCCTTCATACTCTTCTGCACCCTGAGCTATCTCCCTGTGCATAAGCAGCCCTTCCTTCTCCCATGATTGTTCTCTCCAGGGCATGTGTCTACTTGAGGTAAATGTTTAACTCACATGCCTGTACTTTGTTTGGCTGGAAACCACAGTTGTGGGTTCAGTTCCAGACCTGAAGGGCAACTAGGGGCCATAGCCTCAGTGGTTACACCAGGCTCTATTGGACATTGAGTGGTTCTGACTCATAGAAACCCTATGAATGAAATGAAACACTGCCCTGTCCGGCACCAGCTACATAATCATTGCCAAGATTGAGCCCATCATTGCAGGCACTGAGTCAATCCATCCTGTTGAGGGTATTCCCCTTTTTCGCTGACTGTCCACTTCAACAAACATTATATCCTTCTCCAGCAAATGATCCCTTCTGACATGACCAAAGCAGGTCAGACAAAGTTTGGCCATTCTCACTTCTAAGGAGCATTCCACTGCACTTCTTCCAGGACAGATTTGTTCATTCTTTTGGCAGTCCACGGTATTTTCAGTGTTCTTCACCAACACCATAATTCAAAAGCATCAACTCTTTTTTGGTCTTCCTTGTTTTGTTCATTGTCCAGCTTTCACATGCATATGAGACGAATGAAAATACCATAGCTTGGGTTAGGAGTACCTTAGTCTTCAAAATGACATTTTTGCTCTTCAACACTTTAAAGAGGTCTTTTGCAGCAGATTTGCCCAGTGCAGTACATTGTCTGATTCCTTGATGGCTGCTTCCATGGGTGTTGATTGTGGATCCAAGTAAAATGGTATCTTTGACAATGCTAATCTTTTCTCCATTTATCATGCTGCTGCTTATTGGTCCAGGTGGGAGTATTTTTGTTTTCTTTATGTTGAGGTGTAATCCATACTAAAGACTGTAGTCTTGGATCTTCACCAGTAAATGCTTCAAGTCATCTTCATTTTAAACAAGCAAGGTTGTGTTATCTGCATATCGCAGGATGCATATCACAGCATCCAATCCTGATGCTGTGTTCTTCTTCATATAGTCCAGCTTCTTAGATTATTTGCTCAGCATACAGCTTGAATAAGTACGGTAAAAGGATACAACCCTGACGTACACCCTTCCTGATTTTAAATCATGCAGTATCCCTTTGTTCGGTTCAAACGACAGCCCCTTGGTCTATGTACAGGTTCCTCATGAGTACAATTAAAAGTGTTCTGGAACTTCCATTCTTTGTAATGTTATCCACAATTTGCTATAGATCCACACAGTCTAATTCCTTTGCATAGTCAATAAAACACAGGTAAACATCTTTCTGGTATTACTTGCTTTCAGCCAAGACCCATCTGACATCAGCTATCATATCCCTCATTCTATGTCCTCTTCTAAAGCCAGTTTGCATTTCTGGCAGTTCCCACTTTATAAACTGCTGTAACTGTTTTTGAATTATCTTTTAATTTTACATGTATGTGATATTAATGATGTTGTTGTTGTTGTTGTTGTTTGCCGTCGAGTCGGCCCCAACTCATAGCGACCCCTCCTTGGGTTTCCGAGGCAGTATCACTAAGGAAGTAGGATTGCCCAACCTTCCTTCCGAGGAGTGGCTGGTGGGTTTGAACCGCCAGCCTTCTGGTGAGCAGTCAAGTGCCTTAGGCACT